TACACGACTCTTCAATCCCTCCAGGGATGGCCACACTATCTCTGGTCCAAGCCCTGTTCTTGCCCACACCCCAGCACACAAACCCCAGGGAAAAGAGGGTGGGTAGGTCCCATCCTTCCGAGCAGTCTGGCACAGGGGCCCATTGGTGGTACAGGTTTGCCTTTTTTTTTTTTTTTATTCAAAAAGAAAAGGGAATGGGAGAGAGGGACAATTGGCCCAGAAAGCAGCAGGAGGCTTGTATGAAAGAAGCACTAAGGGTCCCGGGCTGCAGGGCTCCACAGCAGGGTCCTGCAAAGCAGGGTAAGGTACAGAAAAAGGCTGTGGCAGAAGCAGCCAGTTCACATCCCTCCCACCAGACACCTGCACAGAAACCAAAAGGAAGAAGGAGATGGTGGATCCCCAGGAAAGGAACCATTCCGGGGTCCAGGCCGGCATCGCTGGCACACAGTCCCTCCCCATCCACCACTAAGGCAACATGGCAAACTTCAGCTCCTGCCCCAGAGCTCTGCTTCTGGGAAGCCAGTCACCTCTCCCACCTCACTGAAGGGCTGCACACCTTGTGTGAACATGAGTTTGTACCTCAGTCGGATGGGATCCTGTGAGAGAAAGGAAAAGAGAGAGGGACACGTCATTGTTGCCGATTCCTGGTCTCCCTTCAGCCTCACCCCTCGCAGCCTTGCTGCAGTGAATCACCCTCTGAAAGGTGAGAGGAACACTTCATCCATGGGGAAGGTCTGCACAGAACGAGACCTGGATCTTCATAAGATATATAAGGAGTGACTGGGAGACCTGTGCAAGAGCCACCCAAGGGCACGCTTGGCAATCCAGGCCTGGCCAACTGTCTCAGTGACAGAGGATTCCTTACACCAGTTGTTGGTCTTGTAATTATTCATCAACTCAACAGAACTGCCACCCATCGCTTGTGACGTGCTAAGTGCCCCACCAGCAGACTCGGTCACTGCACATACCCGGTGTGGGTTGGCAAGCAGCAGGACCTGGGATACCACCGTGGGGGGAAGAAGGGGGCTGAAGGCAGGCAGCTCTGAACCAGATGCTGGCTGTAACTTTATTTTCATGGTCTGAAAGAGAAAACAAAAGGAATGCTTTTTGGTCCACGCTGAAAAAGGGCTGGAAGTATTACCAAGCCACAGAGCTGGTTAAAGACACATCAGCCAGCTTCCACCATGCAATGAAAGGCATGCCCTCTCACAGCCTACACCTAAAGGCAGGTCCTCCTCAATAGCCAATTCTGTGCTGCACATACACAGGCAGAACGAGTGCCTTACCCAGGAGGCTAAAGCAGCACATCTGGAACCCCAGCTAGTTCTCTCAAGGCCAGGGATATACTCTGTGAAACAGGCACCAGGGCCACAGGCACCAGCATACAACAGGTTCATCCCTCAGAGACACCGAGCCATGCAACTTCTGATGAGCACGGCAAATCCTAAGCAAGAAATGCCAAACCTCTCCTCGGGACATTTCTGAGTAGTCCCACTCTCTGCTGCTTGTCATTAAGCTTCTCACCTTTGGGACTGCAGCCTGAAACGCTATGTCCTTAATTGCTTGAGCTGATGTGCTCAGCATGGAAAGAACCATCACCAGCACATCTGGTCGGCCAGGAGCCGGGTCTCTGGAGAAGTGGAGCATAGCCTTGAAACCATTCCTGTCATACACAGTGAGTGGACAGATACTGCCTGCCGGAGACAGAAGGAGAATCAGAAAGCAAGCATGGATTCCCTTCCCTTCTGAGGGCAGAACAGCAAAGATGGGGTAAGGAACAGCAAGAAGGAAACATGCATACAAACTTTTACTTTCTCCAGCAAACTCACAGACCAGGCAGCGTACAGCACCTGCCTGTGATTCACATTTTCTCTAAGGCAGAGAAAGGAATTTGAACATCTAAATCAGAGATTTAGCAGCTCGGATTTCAACAGTCAGCTAGAGATGTCAGGTATGAATCCAATACAGATATGATGGGAAAAATAAAATGTAACTCTTCAGCACTAACAAGACTGAGCCTCTTATCACCACTGCCTGATAAATCCACACCCAACTATCACCATCCAGCCCTTCCAAAACCTGGTAGATCCTTCACTTGAGAGACTGAAGGCAGGAGACAATTGGTCAGAGTGTCTTTGCACCTGTCCCCTTCCACAAGCAGTGACAGCCAAGGCTCTGCAGCCCTCGTAACAGGGCACAGGGGTGCCACGTACCCAGGGTAGCACTCTGGGAAGCGGGTGCAGAGCTGGGCCATACAGCATTGAATCGAAAAGCAGAGGTGGAAAGAACAGCTCTGCTTGAGGAAGCGCAACATCTCCCACCCACAGATCCCTTTTAAGCCTCTGGAGAAGAACTGCTTGAAGCTTGATTAAAGGTGCTAAGGGCAAACAGTTTAGAAGCACATCACAGAGGTTACCCAGGGCAGGAAACTCCTGACTACTTGGTGAGGAGGACAAGGACATTTCCATGGTATGACCCCTAGCACTTGCTCAAATTCTCAGATACATTAAGTCCCTAATAGAACAGTCATTACTTTTCTCCATCTGACCTGCACAGCATGAAGCTTCTTTGGCCTGCTCCCCTGCAAAAATCACAGAACAGCTCTAGTAAGCCTCTAGTAAGCAGAGCTGGGGCACAGAAATCATTGCACTTACTCGGTATAATTGAAATTAAAGGAACAAAAAGGTTTTCTAGAGAAGCATCAAGGGAAGCTGGATGCAAAGAGGCAGCAGGCTTCAGCTCGTAGCCTAGGCTGGAGAATGAAGTATCTGCCATTGAGCTATTTGGAAGATCTGCAAAGGGCAATTTCACTGGTGATAAATCCCTGGAAAGAAAAGCATGTAGAAAGCTTATATTAACTGGGGAGACTACCTGGAATACACCATCGTCTGCTGTGTCCATTTTGTGTTCCAAATCCCTTGTCACTTTTAGGTATAAAGAAAGTACAAGCTTACACTCTCTAAGTTCTTAAGAAATTTTAAAACTGTCTCTATTTTATAAGGAAGAAGCTGCTGCTTCAGCATGCATTAAGGCAGACCTCGATTTCTGTTCCTAACATGAAACTGTTTCAGGGCTTTGGAAGTCTACTCTCCCCATGCACAGACCCTGTGGAGCTCTGGTCAGAGAGATTAAAATAACTTCTGGCTGAAAGACAATGCAAGAAGCTGGGAATCTCTGGTAAAATTTCTTGGCCTGTATTATGGCAGACTGGATAAGCATATCATAATGGTCACCTGCTCTGAAGATCTGTGGATAGTTAATTTGGTTCCCAAACTGTGAAGCTTCCACTGAATGCCTGGAAACTACTTTGTCACAGCCTGGAGAAAACTGGGGAAAGTATTTTTTGAGTCACAGGTTATTATAGAAAGACCTGACTGTATGGATTTTGTTCCTTTAGCTCAAGATCATCTTGTCACTAAGCCATGGATTTGTTTCCCCAAGTTTCTGACCCTTGGAAGGTCCTAGTGTGTAATTACACAAAGTGCAATTAACAGAGCCAACACGTGGATGGATCCTTGCCACCACTAACCAGCTGTAGTTGAAAGGTTTTCCTAAACCTCGCTGCTGTAAAACAGCATTCCTTATCTCCAAAGCCAGACTGCGATGGGTACAATTTGCTTACAAGGATGATGTCTTGGTCCTGGATGGTGGAGAGAGCTGATCAACCAGGCCCTGAAATTCATTCTTCTCTGAACAGCCATCTTCCCACCTCTCCTGCAGTCCCAGTGTTTGAACAGCAGTTATGATTTCACTATATCCATTGTGTGCAGCAGTCTGAAAAACAAAGCACTTCTCATTCACGCTATAGAACATAAACAACTGAAAAGAACCTCATTTTTAAGAACACTGCTTTAAGGAGAAATAAATATGAGTAATCTGGTTGCAAACTGCAACTCAGAAATTCATTGCAGAGCAGGAATATTCCAGTTTCCCTTCAGAAAAAAAGAGTGCCAGAGAAAACTAGACTCACATCTGATTTTTGTCTTTTGTACTTTATGGACTAAAGTATCTGAAGATCACTCACCTCTGGTAAGCCAAAATCGGGCGGTGGTTTCTGTTCAACAGGAGAGTTGCTGAGACCTAAGAATGATGCCAAAATGCCACAGATCAATTCTAGAAAACAAGGGTTTTCCATAGGTTCTTCCTTTGTTATCTAACAGTAGTTTGACTACAGTCTTACACCACTGAAGAAACTACATTCTTGAAAACTTATGACACTGGCTGAAAGGGTCTGCTTTCCCTTACGACCAACGCTAAAGTCAAAGTTCTCCTCTATTAAACACCACGAACCCTAGCAACAAAGATAACACTGTACTGAACTGCATGTACAAACCTAACGACTGTAACTCCTCGAGCAGACATGTAGAGGTTGTGCTGCCGTGCCGGGAGGCGGTGGTGATGTTTGCAAATTGGTCTGTAGGAGACTGGGATGTTGCCTCCAGTTCAGAGAAGTCAATCAGCGTGTAGCTCTTCATGCGTCTTGGGGCTGTCCGGCCTGCTTTGGAAACAGCAGAAAGAGTCAAAGAGAAGCCACCTGAAAGGAACAGCGGATGTGTGGGTACAGGCACGCTCAAAATGACTTAAAAGTGAAGAACTTCAGGAATATTTTCTATCATCCATATGTAAAAGAAAATGATGGTCACATAGGAGTTTTCCTGTGTTATAGGAGTTTCTCCACATTTATTCTCTGAGAAGCATTTCCCTTCCAAACTCCACTCATAGGTGACATGCAGGAGCAGAGCTGTTGTGGAATGCTCCAGATGCTCTTTACCTGGTGCATCAGCAGAGCTGGTGGCTGAACCTCCTCCACCACCATTTTCATGGCTGGCTACAACCTGCCTGTACTGTCCGAGCACCTGTGTGAGCTTGTCATTGGCTTGCAGTATCTCAGCTGGAAAACAAGAGCAGAGACAAAATACTCATGTTCTAACAGGAGGGTCAGTTCCATGGCACTCTCCAGACTGCTCCTGACAGTGCAGCTGAGGACTTGCCCAGAGCAAAGTCAAGCAGGGCAATCTGCCTTAAGCTCCTGACTAGTTTTTCACTCCATTTTCTGAAGTGCAGCATTTTGCACATACACCTGCTGTTTTCAGGTCTCTTTCTCAAGATCACTTTGAAATCTAATCCTGTCTCTGAAGTGCTAACAGTTCCTGCCATCTCTTATGTACTCTGTTGTTCCCTGAAACTTTTCCGAGTGTACTCGAGTCTATAATTCAGCACTCCACAGCTGAAGAACCCTGGCATTCATGGGTATGAATGAAATGTTCAAGGCACAGCTGAGCTCTTCTGTTTGCTGTTGAAGATGTCTGTTCAGCCAGGCATCACTTCAGTCAGGTCTTCAAGGCATATGGACATGACTGTGCAATGCAGTCCTCTGGGAAGGGCTACATTTCACAACTGTGGAATTCAAACATTCTGCTCATATGACCCTCATCAATATATTACTTAAGAAATAAAAAAAATATTCTGCCTTCTGTGTTGATAGACAGGGAGAACTTCAATCTCTGTAGAGAAAAGACCTCAAAAGCCTTCAGTTCTCTGAACACCAGAACTCCACAAACTCTGAAAACCACCTTGGCTGGAAGAAACTGGATTCACTGTTAAACTTTGAGCTTTGAGTGAAAATTTATCACTTCCTTGGAAAGGAGTGGGAGGAGACTTATGCCATTTCCCATAGGAATGGTTTAAAGGTGTATGTGGAAAGCTTTGCCAACAGGTTAGCAAGTGGTGAAGCATTCCCCCTCTCTGAGGAAGGGCATACCCCACTGGTCAAAGCAAAAGTAGACAAAGTAAACTGCAAAGAAATCCAAGGACACTGCTGGCTCTTACCTAGAGCCTCATCGTCATCAACTGTCTCACTGGCAAGGCGAAACAGCAGCGGCCTGAGCTTCTCACAGCGCTGAAACAGCGTCTATGGAAGGAAACATTTCACATTGTTGCTCAGGAGATCCCAGACACTCACACTTCTCTGTCCCCATGACCACCTATAAGTGATGCTACCTCTAGAACAGGAGATGCACCTTCTGCCCAGGTCCAGACAAAGGGTATCACTGCTGCGTGTTGCTGCATTCTTAAAAACCCACAGTGAGCTGGATGTACAGCCACTGGCACAAGGAGGCTTTGCTGGTGTCTCCTCAGCAATCACACCCTCTCTACACGTACAGATGTAAGACAGATCAGTGTAAAATGACTCAATTTAAAATAAAAAGTATCCAGGCATGAACAGATTGATCACAGTACTCAGAGGGAAGTATTACGACCGTCAGTTGCAACTACCACCAGACAACGCAAAGCCACTTACAGCTCCTGTCTCGGCATTTTAGGAAGTGAGGAGGCACGGAGGCAGCTGCTGTTTCAGTCTGAAAGGAGAGTCTCTTCCATCTACAGCAGCAGCCCTCCCAACAGCAGCTAACTCCAAACTCTGCCATCACACATAGCCACAGGAGAAGTTTTTAACTACAAAAATACAGTTGTCTGAAGTTTGTTTTTTTTTCAACTTGAGAGTCTGGTAGGCATCCTAGTGGAGCCTCAAGTATTTCAAGATCATAAAGCTATTGACAGCCCTATTAGTGACATCATACCTTTCTTTAATTCACTCATACTTATGAGCAGCAGTAGACCAGGCACTCTGGGTAGAAAAAGAGGAATCACAGAAACCATAACACAAGCTGAGGAACCCACAACCTTGAGCTGCTCTGGTCAGATCTCATCACACCCACCTAACCATGCCTGGGCTCATGGGGATTCCCATCTGGTGTGCCATGGCTGGAGGAAGAACCATTTCCCCATAAGATCTCACAAGAAGAGCAGCTAAACTGGGCAGAAACTCAAACCAGCACAGCAGGAGATTGTTCCATTTCAACTTCCATCACACTGACAGGAGGGACCGTTATCCATCGAGTATGTTGGGAACTTTTCCTGCCGTGGCAGTGCTCTTCCCCCAGCAGAAGCCAAGCGCACTGTGCCGCCCCTTTGGGTCCTGTTGCCCTGGGCCCTTCCAGCCATTGCCAGACAGAAGAACCTCTTATGGAGGAAAAAGAGCATTTACCTGTAGGGTCTCCTGGTCAGATTTGGATAATTCTTGTCTCTTGTAGTTTTCCAGTAATTCATCCATACGCTTAACATTCTCGGAAACCTCACTGATGGTACTCACTCTTCTGGACACCCTAGCTGACTTTTCTTGTTCCTTTGATGAAAGATGAAATAAAAGTAGATGATGATTTGTCTAGTGCAGCCAGAGCATGGGCTTTGCTGGGTCACTCTAGATCACACTTTTTGGGAGTTGCTTCCTACTAACACCTTATTGCAGGTGGAGGAGGCACAACAGCCCCCCAACAGCTCCAGTATCAGCTGTCCACCAACCTCCCTGTCAAGGGTGAGGATGGAAACCTCCTGCCCTCCTCAGCACACCCTGGACACTGTGCTGATGCATAAGGAATTCATCTCACCACAGGTACGAGTAAGTCTTCAAAATTAGAGTTGGGATTTGGTGGCTTCTGCCATACAGAACAACACTCTCAAAACAACTGCAGGGATTTTGTTAAAGCAGACCCAATCTCCTCTTTATGCAGAGAACTGGGGTGCCCCTTCAGATGGAAAATGAAGACAGACACACCAGATGTGCACACACACAAAAAGGCAGTTCTGTACAGATGTGGCTTTTTTCCACCTGGGAACTGAGTTTAGTTTTGGAACCTTTCCATCACTAATGCAGTACCACTGCCAGGATCCCACTAACGTGGAAGTGTCCTGCTAGACAGGCTCCTGGGTATAAATATTCCCTGTTCCTGGCAAAAAGCATATTTTAGGGAAACAAAACAATCCTGCACTGTAACTTCAGGATAACAAATACTGACAATTGTCACTCTTCCAGGGCAGCTCAAAGAGTTCACCTGAGACTGATGTCGCAGCACGGCTCCCATTACCACCTCTTGGTGTGCCCTGTCATACCAGTAAGGTGGTGGGCACCGCGGGGGTCAGGTATAGAGGGCCCACTGCCAGAAACTGAATGGCCAAGTGCTCTCCCACTCCCCAGCTGCAAACACAGCTTCTGACCCAGGGAGCTCCCTACCTCTTTAATCATGCTCTTGATCAGACGGTTGGCAGCCTGCAGGTCTTCGGTGTGGTTGCTCTTCAGAAGCCGCGCTAAGAGCTGTGGACGGGGAAGCATTGCACAGCAGTGAGCAGCAGTCTCTAGACACCGTACTGCAGACACACACCACAGCAGAGCAGCTGCCTTACAGCTGCCTGCACAAACTGTTTGGCTATTTAGGAACAGGAACTCTCTAGCTCTGCAGAACTTCTGTAAAAAACCCTCCCTCGGGAAAGATCAACAGAAACTGATGTTTTTCTCTAAAAAAAAAAAATTTTAAAAAAATCACTTTTTACTACGCAAAAAGTTCTGACAACCCAAGAACTCTCTAGCTGTTGTACAGCAAGAAGTATTCTCATTATTCTGAAGACAGTCTGTCTGAAGCAGCAAAAGCCCTCAAAATATGACTGAGCCTGTTTTCTTATCTGTACAAATCCGAAGCAGGGAGTAGGCATGAAAACCTTCAAGCTTACCTTTGATTTCTCTTCATCTGTGTCAAAAATAGAATTCTGAGGTCTCGGAGAAGGGGGAGGTAAAATTTTGTCTTCTGGCACTTTGGGGTCTTCTTTGACAATCCCTGGAATGAGTAACAACGTTTGTTCAGCGATGCCTGAGCTGTTACCATACCGATGCTCAACAGCACACTGGGCTTTGCACCTACTTCCTTCACCCCTCCCCAGAATTTCACAGAAGGAGATGGAGAAGCAAGGGGTTTGTCCTGTACCTCTTCCCTGCACAACAGCAGCAAGCATTGTGAGAACAGAGGCCACGAGGCCAGCCTGATCTTTGACTCAATAAGGCTGGTTTTTGGTAAATCTCCTTAAACAGTTTGATGCATCCTTAAGTCCCCAAACAGCCTTGGAAGTGTGGCCTTTGTCCTTGTCTCCTTCCATACAACATCTTGTGATAAAAGCTGAGTCATAAAGAGGACAGATATCTGTGGTCTGAAACCATGTGATTTGAAGGCTAAAAAGGAAACTGAAATAACAGAAACCTTGTTTCTTCAGCATCTGATAAGCATCCCGGATTTTAACTTCCTGAGGAAACCAGACTGTCCAACTGAATATCACTTCTGTGACTCTTGACTTGACTTTTTCTGAAGACCAGGTTCCATAGTACTGAAAACAAAACAAAAAAGTAAATGGAGGCAAAAAAGATTAAAACCAAAGAATTAGGGGCAGATATGCCACGTGGGTCTATCGACAAGTTGTTTGTCTGCAGAGACCAAGTAGCAAATGGATTCCTAACACCTTCTTCATCACAGTGTTGTCAACTGTGTATCTTGTGGTATAGGAAATAGTGTGTATAGTGGTGGCTGTAAATACAAGGAATGCTATTAAGTGTATGCAAATTACATAAATATTATATGATAACCAAATTGAAACTATTTAAAAACTTCTCTGATCCGTTATTGAATCCAAAACCAAAAGTAAGTTGGTTTATTTTAGTGAAAACACTTCTGTGCTTGACCTTATAGACTTCCTTTAACTGCCCACAATGCAAATAGCACCACTGGCCTCATCCAGACCCAGGCAAAGGAAAATTGAACAAAACAAGAAATGAAAGTTATTGTCTTTTTCAGCATCTGGATGTTTTTGACAATTTCCCTCATTATTGCCTATAAGCACTCACTTTAATGTGTTATAAAAACCACACACAAACCTCCAGAACACTAGGCATTTCAAACTCATAAAATGATACCTCCTCTGTCAAAACAGCAAACAAAACTCTCTGTGGTGCCATATTCTTTGAAGTTGTTGTTTCACTGAAACACCTTTACTAACCCTGGCACTGAGAGAAGAGGCTTTCTTGTTGGGTTAGACATTTCTCTGAAATCAGCTTTTTGCAGCTCTGCCATCGAGATGATGTAATGGAAAATGAAGCCTGTGCAAGCGGTAAGTGTGTGCAGGACCTGCTGAGAAGGGGAATCGATTACCAAGTTGCTGAGAAGGGGGTTTCAGAAAGCCCCAGGTCTGCTGTTTGATGCACAGGAGAGCAAGGTGGGAACATCACACCGTCTCTGATAAGACAGGTCTCCATTTTTCAGCATGAGCAGCACTGCCAGGGGACCCAGCACATCCATCTGAACACACTTTGCTTCTCAAACAAAACTCCTCATTCCTGACAGCTGCTTCTCTTCTCAGGAGGCAGCGATTGTGCTCAGAAACAAAGTGCTCCAGAGCAGGAACGAATACACTGAACTAACGCCTGGTGAGCCAGGGAAGCGTGGCAGCAGGGACTTTGCTGCCTCCACGTTAGCACAGCAGACCCCTTCCAGCCTCACCCTGACCCCAGGAGTCACTGCCCAGGGCTGGGAACCCTCTGCCCAGCTTCCAGGACACCCTCAGCAAAGGGGCTGCACCAACGCAGGACTGTCTGTCACACAGTGAGGGCTGCACCAGTGCTGCTGAGGTCCAGTCCCCCTGTCACTGCCTAACCTGAACCTGCCCGTGGAACAGCACCCAAGCCCCAGAATAACCTTTGCCAGGAGAAAGCAAGAAGGAGAGCAGCCAGAGCACTAGGATTTGAGGATAGAGCATAAGAAAGGCATAAGAAACATGGGAAAGGCACTGGGCAGCTCCTGGCATCTCTGTCCTCTGCCATTTCCACAACCAAAGTTCTGTAAATCATTGAGAGGCAAAAGGGCCACAGGTGGAGGGGTCACAGGAACAATTTCCAGCTCCTCCAGTCTCTGACTGTCCCAGCAGAGGTGGGAGAAACCAAAAGGAAAAACTTTTCACAGCAAGAGCCCCTGGCTTACATCTTCTACAGGGGAATTCACATCCAGCCCTTGTGTGTGGAGGCACAGAATGAAATCTGCTCTACTTGGATGTGAGATTAATTCAGAGTTTTCATATCCAGCATGAAATAAACAGTGTGTCCCACCTGCAATGTCCAGCAGAACCACGACCACCTACCTTTGGGGAAAGCACTTTAATCAGCTCATTCAGAAACCTGAATTTTGCTATTTCATTGTGAAATTTCTCACCGCAGTTATTCACACAGGTCTCTAGCACCTGCAGAAAACAAGAGAGTCCTGAACAGAAACTGTATATACAGGTCTTGGGGAATTTTTAAAAACTTTGCCATTACAATACTAAATCTCTGAATTTTCTGATACTGCATTCACAAATACAAGATACTGAGGAAGCTGTGCAGCAAGAACATGTACTTTTCCTTCATCCAACCTTAAGCAGCATGTTTAAGACCATCTGCTCTGTTCTACTCATCACTAATAACTTTTGGGCCACTGACCCTGTGGTGGGACCACAGGCCAAAGAGCAAGAGCTGCCGACCACTGAAACTCCTCAGCAGAAGGACATGGGAAGGAACGACAGCAGTTACCCCCTCCGTTATACCCTGGGTTCTGTGTCCCTTGTGCAATGGAAAGTTAAAAGGGAGAGACGTCTAAGAGAAAAGGAAAGAGGGGCACATCTAAGAGAAAAAGAAGAGACAGCAATGCTGCCTCTACCCCCAAACTCTATTTCCAAGTTACTCCCTCCTCCTGGCACGTGGATGAAAGCACTTACTGTGAGAGCGTGGAGAGCTTCTGCCTCCTGAGGTGACTGTATTTTATGTGCCAGCAGCCTCGGTGCAAGCGACGGGCTGGGGAGTAGCAGAAGCAACTCAGACAATGCCAAGTTCCCAAGAAAAACAAACGCTGCTAATTTTGCTCTGGAGAGAACGGCCACTGATGGATTCACAACCTGCTACCTCAGACACCCTTCCCCTGCCAGAGTGCTGGCCTGGGCCACTACGAGGGGCGAGACATGAATTGAAGCAGCTTGTGCCACCCACAGCTGCCCTCCCGCCATGCCCACAGGCTACCCCCTCAGAGGGAGCCAGCTGGGAGAGGCTGGGGGCTCTCCCTGGGCAAATGCCACAAGAACCAGCTCTGGAGCCACGGAAGCTTTAATGTGCAGCCCAAGACAGGGATGCTGCCGACTGCTCCTGTGCACACGGGTGTCAGACGATGGGCTCTGACACACAGGCCTCTGCTCTACAGAACGAGATCGCGATGCCAAGAGGCTGGGGAGGGCACAGTGGCCAGACCTGCCACCCCACGGGCTGCAGGAACAGACGTCAGAGCCTGTTCCCAGATATCACCCTCCTCCGCGCTGGCACACACCGCTCTGCAGCCTGTTTACCCTGGGGAGCAGCAGAGCCCAGCGAGCGCTCCCAGCCGCCTCTCCAGGCTCCTCAGGCCGTGGCTTACGGGTCCCATTGCCCCCCACAGCCACGAGAAGCTCAGAGCCAGACCCACAGCCCAGAGTGAACACAAAGAGCCATCTGTCTGCCTTACCCTTCCATGTCGGCATTCACCTGGTCACAGAACCGCTGGATGCATTCCCAGTTTTCCTCGGGGCTACTGGGGTCAGTGGCTTTATCTTACAAAGGGAAAAAAAATAAAAAAAGAAAGAGAAAGCAGGCTGAGCGTGAGAGGCGTGCGAGAGAGCGGCACATGCTCAGACCTCACGCTGCTGCCAGCTGCTTCAGGGCTTTTTGTAAGAGAGGCAGAAATGGAAGACACGGGACAAGCAGGAAACAGCTCTTACTAAAATCTGCCTAAAAACACCGTCCTGAGCACAGACTCTTAAAGAGTCGAAGTCAGGCACAGACTGGGGGGTTGAAAGTAGCAACACATGACATTGCTTTTAGCACAGAGTACGAGAAACTGCTAAACAGCATTTACAGGACTGGACTGCAAACCCTGCTGTGCTGGAACACGGGCACAGTTCAGCCTTTTGCAACAGGGCTGCATGAGCCCATCCCAAAGCTCTGCCTGCGCGGCCCAATCAAGGAAAACAGTCTTTTTTGGCTTTTATCCACTTGCCAGCCCAGTGCTCTGACAGCGCGGACAGGACTGGGGCTGAGGATGGACCGGAGAGATGGGGAGGAAGAGAGATATTGCAGGTTTAAGAAAGCACTCATGATCAGCACCCCGAAGGGGCTCCGTGGAGAAGCCAGACCCCTCTGCATGGAGCTGAAGCTGCTCCGGTGCCCGCTGGATTGGGGCCAGAGCCAGCAGCAAAGCCAGCCCTGGCCCCTGGCCCCCAGCCCCACTCACTGAGCCACTGCTCCAGCTCCCCAGCGCCGGCCATGGACTCGCTCCGCTCCGCTGCGAGCAGGACGCAGATCCACCCGCTGCCGCTCCTCGCATGCCACTGCTCGCCCGTGGGAAGCCCACGCGAGTTTTCCTGCTGTGGAAGTGTGTGCTGTGGGCGTGGGCTGCCCCACTGGAACACCCGCCCCTCCAGCTGCTCCTCCCCTCGCTGGAGTGCAGAGCGAGCACATTGGTGAGAACGGAATGAAAAGTCACTAAATTAATTTAATAATTAAAAGGTCATCATCCAAAAGAGGAAAAAACATGCCAGTCTGCTGGTGAGGGGTATTTTTAGCAGAACCACACGCATGACACTGTACACGGGGAGGAGAGTTCCCCTCTCCACGTAGTTCACTCAGCCCAGCAGGACACCAGGGCAGCAGCTATAATGTACATATTGTCCATATGTCTTATATATATACAAAAATACTCTCCCTGGAGTATTTGTTGGGGACCTGTGTAGTCGCAGCTGTAGGTACCCTGACTACAAGGACCTCTCCAAGAGGAGGCCCATTGCTTGAGATGAACCATGCTGGTATCAGCAATAGCATTGCTTTCTGTCCACACGGCCTGGATTTAAATGTTCATAGAAGTCTCTTTCTCCCCACCTGGGAACCAGGCTGTTTGCACCCAATGAAAGCAGGAGGACAGACCTAAATCTGTATTTGGTTCCTCTCCCAGACAAAGTGGCTTATGCTTAGTGCAGATACATACAGACCAGACACACCATGGTGACACCTGCCTGGGCTGAAGTCACGATCAAAGCATCAAAGAATCACGCTGAGATCAAAAAAGTGCAGGTCTGGGACAATGAGACGCACTGCCTACTCCATCCGACCCGCTGCCTGGCTGTCGGTGTCACTTCTGTCTCACATTAGCTAGACAGTGCTTTGTGTATTCGGCCACACACTTCTTTGGGTCCCAAGGTCACCATCATCTCGGCAACGCTCGGTCCGTGCTGAAAACAGAAGAAGTCATTGTAAAATGGAAACTTACACTTTTCAGCACGTGTGCCTGCATCATCACGACGGAAACGGCAGAGTGATTAGCTATCAGATTGCTGTTAGACCAAGGGTGGGGGTTTTATTAGAGATCTCAAAACTAGGGTTTGTTTTTTTGCTTTTTAATCCTAAACTAAAATGCTAAGAATGGTCAAACTTTCCCAGAAGGATTGCTGCCGGCGCCTCAGCCAGGATTAGGCTTTGAAGAACTTTTGTAAAACTTGGTTTTGAACTTTGGAAAATCAGATTGCACATCAAGTCCTAGCTTTGCCCAGAACCTAGAACCTTGCCAATGCTCCCTACTGCTGGTCCAGAGGTTTTTCTGACTTCAGATTTGTGACCAGCATATTCATGCTTTGACAGCTTCTGCCTTTCTGAAATTTACAGAATAGCCCTTTCTTCCCAAATTGCTATATATTGGTACATTTGCTCATAGCAGCAACTGATGTCAGTTCTTGCAAGATGTCCAAATACCAGTATCTTCCTATCAAAGAAAACAGGTGTTTAAATAAAAAAAAGGTCCCAGTCTCAGAATTTTATTTTTTTTACCTGCTGCCCACTGAGTGCCAAGCGAAGGAGCCTCATCATGCTGCTGTACTTAGTCTCCTTGGTTTGCTTCTGGAGGCTTCTCAGGTCTTTATTCAACTGCTCCATCGTCAAAACAGCAGCCTGCCTTGTCATGAGCCTTTGGGAAAGAAGATGTCCTTACAGACACACAAATCACAGGAATCCTGCCCAGAAATGACTAATGACTTTGATGACTGCCAGCTACCTCAGACTGGTTTTGCAAAATCTTCTGGCAACAGCAGCAGTCCAAGGTAAACTCCCTGCCCTTCGTCCCTGCCCTGTGCCAGGGCACTCCCTCTGCTCACTGCAGCACTGCTGCCGGGCACAGGCACCCTGCGAGGCTGGCAGGCGGCACTGCTGCACCTCGACACTGCTGCTGCCGGCTCTGCTCTGCCAAGCCGTGCCTTTATTAACAGCATCAGCAGCAGAGTTTGTTCAGAAAAGCAAGCATCAAGTTCAAATCACAAAATTACACCAATGACCTGGAAAACCACAGCAAAAGCTGCAATTCTGATTTCTTTTTTACTGACTGGATTTTTAGAGATGCAGGAGCCATTGCTGACACTACTCAGCTGTAGGCAGCAGTGCTGCTATCCCTTAGGACAACAAGTACTCTGACATTTAAAGTACCATCACTTGCACAAAGTTAGCACTCAGCTGTGACAAAAGACTGAGTCCAACCAACAGTGCTGATGGCTGAAGATAATAACTCAACTTGCAGATACTGCCACCTCAATTGCTCCCCAGAACCAGTTTTCAGGGCTCATTTTAGTCCAGGTGTGAGATCCGAACTGAAAAGGCGACTCTCACACCAGCCCACCTAGCTGCAAGGCGTGGAGTAGCAGAGGGACACGGGGCAGCAGTGAAACATGTTGGCAAAACCCCACAAAACTGGTACAGAAGGAAGGTCCGGGACCGGGCAGACCATCTGCCATCTCAGGAATGTTTCTGAGCAGACAGAACTACCCACTGCTAGTGAGAGACAAAGAAATGGAAGCAGGAGAAGCTCCACAGGGATGAGCTCTCCAGAAGTGACAGTGACTCTGACTGGACACAACTGGGTTCATTCCAGAGACTCAGAATTCTGTCTCATTATGTTATGTGAGTGCATATTGACCAAAACCACCTCACACTTCTCCAGGTCGATGCCCCAGCAGACAAAAGCACAGGAGGAATGGGAAAACCCTTCCAGCACCGCTGCTCCATTAGCGCTGTGCTGGCACACAGACCCGCTGTGCTTGGTGTTTTACAGAATCCAGACGTGACAATTCTTCCTGGAGAGCGCTGATGTGAGCTTGCCTGCTGGCAACCTGCTTTTCAACTACAAACACAGAATTTCTCACTCGTTATTAACAACAGCACATTCCAAAGCAGAGCAAATTAAGTAAGAACGATGAGCACGTCCAACATGAATACAGCAGCCAAGAGCAATGCTCCGGGGTGGGCAGGTGGGTGCGTTGAGAGCTGGGAAGAGACACTTACCCTAAGACTAGTTTTCCTATTTCATCTACTTCTGCAGAAATAGTTTGCAGCTGCTCTCGGGACACCGAGGGCCTAACCCATAAGTAAGAATAATCAGATGACACCAGGTTCTTCAGGAAGCTTATGTGACCCTGGAGAAAGAAAGCAAAGCTGTCAAGGCTGAGGGTTAAGCTGAGGGAGAGCAAACTCATCCTGTCTGGACTTCACAAACAGTTAAAGTGGGAACACACCCCTGTCCCATGGTCTGTAGTGCTCAGAGTATCGCTGACATCTAGGCAGGCAAGATTTTCCACACCTACAACTGCTGGTGTGAGCAGGGACACGGACGCAGCCCAACGGGCCGTGGCTGCAGCTGCGCTGCAGAGCAGCTGACTCAGTCAGCCCGGGGAAGTGGCCACGTTCATCTGCCACCTTTCAACAGAGTGGGACGTCACATCCCATGGTCTGTAGTGCTCAGAGTATCGCTGACATCTAGGCAGGCAAGATTTTCCACACCTACAACTGCTGGTGTGAGCAGGGACACGGACGCAGCCCAACGGGCCGTGGCTGCAGCTGCTCTGCAGAGCAGCTGACTCAGTCAGCCCGGGGAAGTGGCCACGTTCATCTGCCACCTTTCAACAGAGTGGGACGTCACATGAGTCCCCCGTCCTGCTGCCACAGCAAAGCCTTCACGCTGGAACAGTCGGGTCTCTTCCTGCCCCCACAAAGGCTTTATTCTTCACAAGGAATCTCCCAGATACTCCAGTAGCATCCCAGGGGCAGACTGGGAAGCGACTGGGCTCATCCTCCTGCCTGGCACTGGGAAGAGCCACAGTTACAGCCAGCACTCCACCACTTAACTGAGACCAGGGCTCCCAGTGCACAAACTCCACTAGTTTAACCACCAAGAGCTTCATCCACCTCTGCAGACACTGCTTTGACTTTGCTTCCAAAGCTCGGAGCAGCGGCAAAGCAGCACCACCTTGTGCTGCCCACAGCCAGCAGAAGCTGGA